TATATATATATAATATAATATTATATTGTAATATATTGTAATATATTATAATATATTATATTATATTATATTCTATTCTATTCTATTCTATTCTATTCTATTCTATTATATTATATTATATTATATTATATACACACATACAGATAGATAGATAGATAGATAGATAGATAGATACAGCCCGCAGTTCTGCGCGAAGCGGGAGCTGGCCGAGGTCCGAGAACGTGCGGCGGGCGGCGGCCACGCGTGCGGCCATGGCTCAGCTGCACATCGACCTCGAGGATCCCGACGGCCAGTCGGAGGGACGCTCCGCCGGGGGAGGCAGAGCCCACTTCTCCCCTTTTTTGGCATCCTATTTGGCCGCCTTGCTGTGATTTTTTATCCTTTTTGTCCGCAGGCAGCGTGCTGGCGAGGGCCGCCACCGCGGTCTCGCGGATCCTTCGGGCCGGATCCTCGCTGCACTGGCCCCAGAGCAAGCGAAGCGGAGTCGGCTTGGGCTTCGGCTCTCCTCGAGGGTTCTTGGCCCAGCCTCTCCTTGAGCCTTGCACCGCCTTTTGGGAGATGTTCGAGTGGTTCCAGTGATCGTCCTCGAAGAAGCTTCAGAGAATCGTCGAAGCCCGGCAGCGATGCAGGGCTTTTTCGCCTGCTTTGATACAGATTGTGCAGGCCAGCGTCAGCGGGCTCGAAGCCACAAACCATTCAGCACAGCAGACTTTGGTAAAGTTCGATGAAAGTCTAGACACCGACAAGCCGACAGATGGTTTCCTCTCGCAGCTTGGGCCACGACTTCTTGAGCCTTCCGCCCAACGCCTGCCCCCAGCTGCAATCCTGTGGAGGCAGGATCGGCGAAGGAATAATAAGTAATCCCTTCCCCCCATTTGTTAGACACCCCCTAGTCATCAGCAACGGGGCCTATCCTTCTGAAATTATCCCTGCCCCTTAAAGCCTATTCTGAATTAGGGTGGAACGTTTCGAGGCTCCAAATGACCCTTAGAACACAGTAAGACTAAGAGCAAAGGCAAGAGCAAGAGCAGGAGTAAGAGCAAGAGCAGGAGCAAGAGCAACAGCGGGAGCAACAGCAAGAGCAGGAGCAAGAGCAACGCAACAGCAATAGCGGGAGTAAGAGCAAGAGCAGCAAAGGCAGGAGCAACAGCAAGAGCAGGAGCAGGCGCAAGAGACGCAGCAGAAGCAGGAGCAAAAGCCAGCGTGGGAGAAGAGCCAGAGAAGGGCAGGAGCACGACCCCTCAAAAGTGGCAGTAGAGCAGTAGAGATAAAAATATCCCCTAATACTAAAAGCACTTCCGGAACTTCTATGGCCCCCCCGTTAAATACAAGGGGCAAGGGATTACTTAAGGTCTGTGTAGAGTTCCGTCCTGCGCACTCCGTGATTACAGTCTTGGTGTTTGGGGCTCTCAAGCCGAAGCACGCAGACAGTCAGACTCAGTCGCATGTGCGCAGGGCTTCCGGCGGCTTCCGTGCCTTCTTCTGCTCAGACAGGATCTTTTGTTTCTGAGAAAGATTATGCTCTGCGGGAACATTGCTCACAAGTCGTTGCCGCGGGTGCCAAGAAGAGTCTTCAACAGCTGCAGCTGTCTTCACCTGTCGCTTGCTTTCAGTCAAGCGCCTTCTCGGCTTGTCGCGTTTCATCTTTCAGTACTTTTCGGTTGCAAGAAAGAGTGGGCTCGTGTGAGAATTCAGAAGCCTTCGCTTCCGCCTAGCCACACCTAGGTGTACTTGTACGATGTCGAGGACGCGATCTCCAGACCCGCGGACGTGGTGAAGAGCCTCTCAGACCAGGGCTGCTGCTTCGTCTCGCATGCCGTCCCAGCCAGCTGCTGCCAGTGTCTGGGCCTGTCGTCGCAGTTTGGATAAGAACCAGGCCTTAGGCCAGAATCCTGTAGACTACCGTAGACCTCGAAGATGAGAGCTGCCGCAACAACATGCCCTGCTCTGTGAAGGCGGTGCCCCCGATTTTGGAACATGCGCATCCCCGAATCCTACGCAAGTCATCTTGAGGCGCTTGTCAGCAGAGCTGTGCCGGCTCTGCGCAGCCAAGGCGACTGGCAGCTTACGTCGATGACGCCCTTGCCGCTGCCCAGAGGGACGTGGAGCTGTCGGGAGACGGAGATGCGCGCTACGCGCGTCGTCGCTCCTACTTCCGGAGGCCCGTGCGTGCTGGATCCCCATGCGTCCGGTGATGTCCGGTGTCATCTGGTGTACTGCGTTGCCAGGTTGGCCTACGCAACCCGACGAGACCGCATCGAGTTCACATTACCTCTGGAAGATGAGGTCAGGGAAGTGCTGGAGCGGATGGTTGCCTCGTTGGGGCAGATCTTGGAGCCGTTTGTGACCCGACACGGCCGACTCGTGGATCTCTCCTGTATGATCTCCGACCCGGACTGCGAGTACCAACCTCTCCACTCGGACACCTCGCTGGAGCGCGTCAAGTTCACTTGTTTCGTTGCCCTACAGGACGTGACAGTCGAGATGGGCCCCACATACCTCTGCCCGGGCACCCAGAACTACGAGCACCACAGCGCTCTGGATGCCATGCAAAAAATGCAGTTGACTCATGATGACATGTTGGAACGCCTGGGTGGCGTCCCGGTGCTCTGTCAGACTGGTGATGCGTACGTCATGAACTCGCAACTCTTGCATTGTGGTGGTGCCCAGGCATCTGCCGTAGCCGGGGGAAAGCGCCGGCGCCTGCTGTATGTGACCTGGCACCTGCCTGGCATCACGCCCGGAGAGCACTCCTTGAGAGACGAGCTGGTGGGACGCTTCCGCCTCGGTGACTTCGATAAAAGGGGCCCTGCCCATGCTGCCCTTCCGGAGGACTTCGATGAGGAATACAGCGAGCTCTTCATTGCGGCCAACAAGTTGGATGACGCGGAGGCCATGCTCCAATTTGCCAAGTGCCTGCGGGAGCGCGGAGACCTCGGGGCCGTCGCCTGGATGCGGCGCGCCTGCCGCCGGGGCCATCCCTTGGCATGCATGCACCTGGCGGAGGTCTTCTGCCTGGGAGAGCTCGGGATGGCCCAAGACCTGAAGAAGGCCGAGGAGCTGCGCACCTACGCCATGGCACTCTGCGAGAAGCTGAAAAGGCGAGGTACCGGCGAAGAGCCGGAGCTGCCTCTCTGCTTGAAGTGTCGCTAACGGCCAAAGAATGTCAAAGGCGTAAAAAGGCCCCCGCGAACACGCTCCAGTGCCTTTGAGTGCTCGGATTTGTGAGCGGCCTTCATCCTTGAATCTGAGAGGCGGCTTGCTCCAGAATGCACTGAACATGCACAGGTAGAGTGAGGGCAGACGTGGCACCTCCAAGCTCTGAGGTCCAGCATGCTGGGTGCGACCTCCCGGACCACGCAGAGAATGCAGGGAACCCAGCAGCACAGTCCAGTTGTCCAAGTGAACTGTCGTGACTTACAAGGCCGACGCTGACGTCCATCAGCCAGCGGCGGACCCTGGCTTCGATGGTGTCCTTCCGTGAGGGGCCCCAGTGCCGTGCGAGACTGGTCCTGCGAGTTTTTGTTGATGCTTTCGCCCTGGACACGGAGACAACTGAGGTCTGAACTCACCGCAGCTCCTCCGGGCCACCAGGGCTTACAAGCCACTGCGGGCGGCCCAGGGTTTGCGGAAGCCAGGGCTGTGCGTTGCTATGCTTCGATTTCCTGGCGCTGGTTCGGGTTGATTCTGGCCGAGCGCGAGAGTGCTAACCGTACCAGGGGCAGCAAGCAAGCTCGATACCGCTCGATGCTGAACGAGGAAGCCACTGGAAACCCCGACACGACCTCGAAGACCCAAACAATACTCAACATCAGTTTACCCCAAAACCTTGACCGTGCCTCCAACGCACGAGACTCTCCCTGCCTCAGGGTCAATCTTGGAGCCGTCTTGCGGGATCGCAGGTTGGGCGGGGGCTGGGGCTGCTGCTTTTGCTGCTGCAACTACTGCTTCTTATCCTCCTGCTCCTCCTCCTACTTCTGTTCTTTGTTTCCTTCTTGCTTCCTTTCCTTCTGTCTTCCTGTCGTGTCTTGTCTTGCGGTCACGTCTTGTCGTAGCTTGTCCTGTCTTTTCCTCTTGTCTGTTCCTCTCGATTAGTACAGTTTTATTCCTCCTTCACTTTGCTTTGCTGTTTTCTTATGTTCTTTCTTTCTTGCTTTCTTCTGTTGTTTGTTATTTGGTTCTTTCTTTCTTGATTCCTTTTTTCTCTCTTTTTGTTCTTACCTTCCTTCCTGCCTTCCTTGCTTCCTTCCTTCCTCCTTACTGCTGCTGCTGCTGCTGCTGCTACTCTACTTCCTATTCCTCCTCCTACTCCTGCTCCCAACAAAGCAGTGACCCAACTTTCTCCCTGGCCAGGTCCACGCGAAATGGCTTCGGGAGGTCCCTGATCGGACAGGCCATGGCGCTGGGGCCCAAGCGGTCTCCGGCCACCCCAAGCCTGAAAAAGATTGCGCGCCACTGCTTCCCCTCCTTTCTGCGCGGTTTTGTTGGGGAGGCTGGATGGGTGCCACACTGAAAAAGGGGTCGATTAAAACTGCAGGCTGGTTTCCTTGTGCATGCAGTGCAAGTATAAGGAGGTCGACTCGATTCCCAAATCCTTATCGCCAGTATCAGTATCATTGATAATGTTGTAAATAGATATATCAGGGGCATGGCCCAGCCATTTAAACAAGGCCAGTTATCCTTCCCGTGATCGTGCTCTTGTTTGCTTTGTGCAGCAACGGAAATCGTTCCGAGGTCTGCCGAAAACGTCGTCCGACACACAGAGTCCTTTGATGCCGATGGCCCAGCTCTTCAGCTGTATCTGATGTCGACGATTTGGTTGGCAGAGTCCACGGTTTTCTCTGCAAGTTCCGGCACGCTCTACTCAGGACTACATGTTGAGCTTCCAGACCCGATGCTCGGCTTGGGTCGTCCCAGTAGGTGACACTTTTCGTGGGGCCTTTGGTCGGGCTCTTTCTGGCCGTGTCCCTTGCGACCGAGGAGAGATCGACCAGTTCTGGTCCCACAGCTGGCGAGCGAATACCTTTCTGAAGGCGCTTGGACTCAGAGCATCCGCCAGCAGGGTTGGACGAGACCAGAAGTGGGTGGAAGTTGAAGCTGGCGGGTTCGTCATGGGGTCTAAGGTCATGGTGCTGCTGCTCTACTACAACCAGGACCTCATTCATGATAGCCCCCCATGCCAGGCGGAAAGGGCCGACAAGTGGAAGACATGCCAGGCGCCGGCAGCCTTCTTCAGCATCCTCAGCGGCGGTGTTGGGATGGCTGGAAGCTTGGACGGAGCGTCTGCTGCAGCAGAAGTGCGGTCCCTCATTAAGGCTCTGCGAGCCCTGCACATCTTGCCGTATTTCGTGAAGCTGGAGCCGGGAACCCTTAGTTGGTCATCTCCAACGGGAATGTAACAGTTGGCCAGGCCAGGAAGCAGAGTGTTTGGGGAGCTCCGAGGTCTGCTGTGGTGGGTGGGACCTATCTCTATGCGGCCACGCAGCCCAGCGTTCCGTGGCCAGTTCCCTCCCTCCGCGCTTCTATGCGACTTTCGCTTTCCAAAAGCAACAGGCCTGGACATCCATCTTTGGCCTCACGGCTTTTCTTTCCGTGCGGCTGCCCTGTTGATGCGCCGGCTGTGTCCATGACTCAAAGATCTCCCTGTCCCCTGTTCGTTGCAGGTCCTCTTTCTCTGGCGGCCCAAGCAGAGGGTGTTTCTGGACAAGGCGCTTGAGAGTCTCCACGCAGTCTCCGCAAGCCGTGCTTGTCCCTCTTGCGTCTCCAGGTTTGCATCCACCAGAAGGACCCCGTGCTCAAAAAGGTGGGCGGCCTTGCTTGCAAGCGGCCCTGCAGACGCGCAAACGCATGAAAGCTTCAGGAAGGGGTGGAGAGCATCGGTGCTTTCCTCTACTATTCCAAGACCATGCTGGTCTTGTGGGATCCCAGCTACGTCGCTTGCCAACACGATTCTGTGCTGGTATTCCACATGCATGAGCTCCGCATGAATCTTTGCCAGCAAGAGGCCACCCGCTTGTGGTGTGTCTTCGAGATGGCTGCATTTGCGTGGGCCCACAGGAGCCTTTGGTGATGGCAGAAGCCCATACCATGTCTTGCGTACAGGCATGCTTGTATGTATGCGGACATACATGCGTGCATGGATGGACGAATGATGACGAATGGATGGGGGTATACCACGGATACTGGGGCTTGGCAGGAAGCGGCCCTGGTGCCCGTCCGAAACTGTTGCGGCATGTTCCAAGAGCTTCCCCGATTGAGTAGACGATGTATGAGTGGACTGCAACTCGGTGTGCTGCTAGCTGTGCATGGACGCAGGAATGACCTGAAGAATCGTGTGGAGATCCGCCCGGTGATATTTGCACCGGCTGGAACCGGCTAGTTAGTTGCCAGTTTGATCCGCCTTGCAGCAGAGCTGGGATGCCAGGTCTACTTTGGGTTCATGGCGCCCCTGCCTCAGCATCCTCGGGGCTACGCAGTGGCACCCGACAGTCCATGCCGTTTCCGCGAGGACCTCGGTCATCAACTGGGCGTTGCTCACCATGTTCCCTAGGCCTGGCTCTCATCTCCTACCAGGGCCTCCGCTCCCAAAGGCTGCACATCGTATGCAAAGGACCCCGACGATGAGCATCACCGTCTGGCCGGCTCTGCAGTCCATCATCTGCATCCTTGGGGTGCACTTCTTGAGGCCGGGTGACAGGCCCCTTGCTTCCATTTCTCCAAGAAAGATCGTGGAGTCGTCGGGAGGTCTTTTCACAGAGACATGACCATCCTCCGACAGCATTTGGCGGAGCGAGGGGCCCCAGAGACAGAGCCCGGGCCGGCACTTGCCAGAAGTCTTGGGCCCTCTTCCTCTCTAAGTCTGAGCTCTGTGGGATCAGGTTCCAGGCAGCAAATGCCCAATGCTACTGCTGTAGTGTTCTGAGCTCAGCCTTTGCGCCTCGGCCTCCGGGCACGCGGCTTCGAGCGCAGATTCAGATCTTGCACATTGCTCGAGGTGTCACATCGACTGCCTGAGACGGGTGAAAGGATCGCTTGTGCCCGGTGCTGAGTGTGCCAAAGGCCTTTGTTCCCTGCTTTGCTGACTTGTGCGGGTGCCGTTCCGATAGAGCACCGTTGCGTTTTCCTGAGCCCGCGCATCTGAGCAGGATCGAGAGGTCATCCAAGCATGTATTGTCGGGAGCCCAGAACGAGGAGTCAAGAGCATCAGTGGAGGAGCTCAACACCCAGTGCTTTGCTCTGTTGCAATCTGCCTGCCGGCCGTCTACCTTTAAATGATATCTGATATAAGTGCGCTCTGAGCTAGAGTGGGAGCAGTGGCCTCTGTCAGATGACATGGTTTGGAACCTTGACGGACTTCGACAGCTTCGTGCAAGCTGAGTGCGCCCAGCCAGTGTCATTGGACGGGATTGATGCGGTCTTTGGGAGCATCAGTTGGGCGAATCCCTGCCGAGCACATGTCGGAAGGCTGGCTGGCTACTTCTGGCGGTCACTTGGGCACTTTGGCTTGTACCTCCCGCTTGTATTTTGAAGAAGGTCTGTCATTCTGTCGGCAATGCAGCCTCCTCTGTCCAAGACTCTTGCGCGCCGCGCGTGACAGGCCGTATCGTTGGGTGCTGGGCTCACAGCTCCCTGTCCTCTGGGTGTGGCTCTCATTTTGCGCATGTCCAGCACTTCACATGGGCCATCGGTGCATCTGATTCTGCCCTGTGCCATGAGGCTTATATGGACATAGTGGCAGATAGCATCCAGGGTGGAGACGTGTGGGAATCTGAGTGCAAGATCCACGGCCGGGCGTATGAGTGTTGGGGAAAGGGCAGTAGCATCCGTTCGGCTCAGGTGGTACATCTCCTCCATGGTCGTCGAAGGACTTGCCATGTGGCTCTGTGCATGGGCCTCAGCAACCCTTAGCAACCCCCATGCCTGCATTTCCCTTCATTCTACATTGAGATTCCACGTGCTGTGCCTTGTCGTCTGTCACTGTCTGCAGCACCTTCTCTTCCCAAGTGTTGCCTACACTGAATCGAATTGTTCATAGGCGCCTGCTTGACATGCAAGGCGAGCCCTCTGGTTGTGGCTTTTGTGATTTGGGCTGACTCCCCAGTGCATGCCATGAATGTCCAGACCAGAAGTGTGTTGGGCTTTAGTTCTTCCTCGTGTCTAGACTGAAAGAGAGCGGAGAGTGGCAGATCTTGGCAGCCCAGGTGACGAACCTCTTGCAGAGAAAGCGCAAGCTGGCCGTCTGCGACACTTTAGTCGCGGGCTGAACTCCACGGAGCAAGCTGTGCTTTGAGTGAAGTCGAATCCTCAGTGTGTAGCAGTAGCATTTCTGGGTTCAGGTGTCGCTTTGGGCAGCATCACTGGCGTCTGAAGCCCATCCAAAGAGACCCGACATCTGACACAGCATCGATCGAACCTGAGGCTCATTCCTGTCGGGACACTGACTTTCCTGTGGTACGTGTCCCGCTTCGTGGAGCTCTCTGAGCAAAACCTGGTGTAAATATGTTTCGATTTCACAGCCCCGACTGAGGCCATCTCCCCCACCAACCCGCTTCCCGGCGCCATCGTCTTCCTCATTGTCATGCCTGCAAGTTACCTACATAGCGGTGCTTCCGTCGCTCTGCTCCTGCCATGGCCAGGTAACGGCAGAGGTGACAACGCTTACATACAAGTCCGAAGCTGAGTAGAGGGAAGGTAGGGCATGAGCGAAGCTGCACGTCTCAGAGCCTGAGGTGGGGGAGATCGAACTGCTTTGCATGTGGCTGAGCTCCGTGCTGGAGCACCGAGCATCGAGCATCCACGTTGGAGTGTTGGTGCAGGGTCCACCTGTGACCGATGCATAGATAGGAGCGTCCTCAGAACGGCCGCCCGAATGTTGAAAACTCCCAAATTCTGCATGCTCGCTTGCGCATGAAGAGAAGTGGACTGACTAGCGACTAGACTAGAGCCTTACTTTTAAACACTGTGTGCTTCAACCGGCACTGCACGCAAAGCATCAACAAGCAGGTTTCAGGCAAACTAGATCAGTGTAGTCGTTCATGCGCTCGAGTCACCCTGATTGCTGCTAAATGTAGCAGCATCAGATGCTTCAGCACTTTGCGACTCTGCGATGAGATTGCAGGTGGCTTTTGAATAGTTTTAAATTCGCTCCGGCAGGCGTAGCTCGTTGTTGAGCTAAGAGCCCCCGGAGAGGCCCAGGGCAGCAACCAAGAAACCTTCTCCCCCGATATGTGCCCGCATGCAGATGCATGCAGGGATGCAGCTACCGAAGTAAACAACTCTTTGTCTGCATCATCTATCCCAATTAGCTGCTAGTTTCCAGCACGCTCGCTCACTCACTCACTCACTCACTCACTCACTCACTCACTCACTCACTCACTCACTCACTCACTCACTCACTCACTCACTACACTCACTCACTACACTCACTCACTACACTCACTCACTCACTCACTCACTCACTCACTCACTCACTCACTCACTCACTCACTCACGCACGCACGCACGCACGCACGCACGCACGCACGCACGCACGCACGCACGCACTCACT